AGTATTTCAGTATACCGACAGTAAGAATGAACGTTATGAAATTAGAATGAATACAAAATAATGAATGAAAGACAAATATTATAAAATGAATAAATAGAGATGCCAATGAATATGTAATTAGCGATGACAGCTCGGCCTCTCCTGACAGAAACTCATCCCGAGTTAGCCTGCGTTGTTACCATCATCGTGATCACCGTCATCACTGTCTTCATCGATCTCAGGGAACAAGGCACACCACGGCTTCATCTTGTCTGACGTTGCAATTGTACTATACCTTCGTTGCGAGTGTTGCATGCCCTCAATATCTTCGATGACATATCGGTCGAATCGTAGGACTTTCTTGACAACGTATGGGCCTTTGTACTTTGGCTGCAACTTCCGCGATTTGCCTGTACTTTGTAGTGGAGCTTCTATGAGGACCAAAGCACCTTCCTCATATGGCAGTGGTTTTCTATGTCTGGCGTCGAATTTGGCCTTCCATTTAACCCTCGCCTCTTCGATGTTATGAATTGCTTCATTACGTCGTCCTTGCATATGTAGTTGCTCATCGTCCGTTTGTAGCGCTGCCAATATTTTGTTCCCGCTCAGATCGCGTAGCGGAAAATCGTATACTAGGTCGATCGGTGCAAATTTCGTTGTTGCATTCACCTTTGTGTTCAGTGACCACTGCAACATGCGGATATGTGTATCCCAGTCCTTTGCTTCGTCAGTCGATGTCCTCAAATATGCCAACACAGCTTGGTTTACGCGCTCTGCTAAGCCATTTGATCGCGGCGTTCGTACTGCTACCTTAATATGTTGAATGTTATTCTTTTGACAAAAATTACTGAATGCAGCCGACGTAAACGCAGTCCCACGGTCCGACACAATTATTTGTGGTAAGCCAAAATAAAGAGTGAGCTGGTTTAATGCATCCAATACAGGCTTGGTTTTCGTAGAACGTGTTGGACAAACTACCGAGTATCTCGTAAGGACATCTACAATAACGAGCACATATTCGTAACCACATCGACTTTTAATCAATGGTCCCAGATGGTCTACATGCAGCGTTTGGAATGGCAACTGTGGTATATCCATTCCGTACAGTTCACACTCCTTGATCGTCGGTTCGCGGTGGTAGCAACACTCAATGCAAGATTTTATGAAACCCTTGACAAAATTCCTTATCCGTGGGAACCAAAAATTTTGTCCGATTCTTTTTATAGTTCCGTCTACACCAGGATGCCCGACGTCATCATGGCAAAGCTTGAGTACGCGCCATCGCATACCCTTTGGAACAACTAGCAATTGCCGCCCGTGCTCCACTTTTCGAAACAATCGATTGCTTTTCAGGCAATAATTTGAACGGATATCGCTTCGTTGGCCGCCAGTATCACTACTCTGCAAAATGTTTATAATTTCGTTCAGCTGGCGAACGACTCATGGCGTCAACATGACTCATCAAAGACCCGGAGCGGTGCACTATATTGCAGTCATACTCCAAAAGTCTTAAAAGCCAACGCGCTACCCTTGGTACCATTGGTTTCGACGTCTTCGCTGTTGTGATTGACATTTCCCCGGTAAGAACATTCTGAACCTTTCACAAGCTTCAACAACTACAAGGACTTCTAATTCGTACACATGATAATTTTTCTCCTGCGGTGTACACGTTCGGCTATAATACGCTACTGGCTTCAAATCGTTTCCCTCATTTTGCAACAGAATAGCTGCGATGCCTACACTCGAGGCGTCGGTATGAAGTTCGTGCTCTTTCGTGACATCATAAATTGTAAGCACTGGGGCTCTAATAATTAATTTAATTAATAGTCGGAACGCTTCTTCACACTCCGAATCCCATATAAAATGTGCGCTCTTCTTCGTTAGCTGGGTAAGGGGTTTAGCGATTTGAGCATATCGGGGAACAAACTTGCGGAAGAACCAACTCAATCCCAAGAACCGTCGAACTTCTAACTGATTATGCGGAGTCGGATATGCTTCTATCGCTGAAGTTTTCAAATTCCCCGGCCAAATGCCACTAACATCAACCTGATGCCCTAAGAAAGTAACCTCTCTCCTCAAAAATGAGCACTTCGATAGCCTTAATGTTAACCCCTCTTGCTGAATAATTTTCAGAAATTCCTCCAAGTAAAATAAGTTTTCGTCCTCGGTCTCAGTCGCTATAATAACCTCGTCTACATAACTAACTACTGCTCTCTTCAAAGGTGCAATTAATTATGACATCATCCTCTGGAAAGTACACGGAGCATTTCGTAAGCCAAATGGCATTCTGTTAAACTCAAAATGTCCACTGGGCGTTACGAATGCAGTAAACGGTTTGGAATCTTCTTCTACTTCAATCTGGTAATAACCAGACATAAGGTCTAACGTAGTGTAAAATTTCTTTCCAGACAATGTTGCCAAAACTCCATCCACTGTAGGCATCAACCACGGCTGCTTTTCGGTTATTGTGTTCAGCCCGCGAAAATCTACACAGAGATTATCTTCGCCATTCTGTTTACGCACCAAAACGACCGGTGATGCATACAGCGAATTTGACCTCCGAATAATGCCCAAATGCAACAATTCGTCAACTATTTTCCCGACTACGAGCTGTTTCGGGATTGGAATACTGTACGGCTTTTTAACTATTGGTCTCTGAGACGTTAACTTAATTTCCATCTTGAATGTTCTTGACTTTCCCAATTCGGGCAACTTTTCTCCGAAACAATTCGCATATGCATTCACTAAATCAATTAAATTTTGCTCCACATTCGCTTCCAGTGTACTACTAATATCTAAAGCACTTCTACTAATTGCCATAACTCTGCATATGCCACCCTCAATCACAACTTTTCCTTTAGCCAGCACGTCGATTCCGATAAGTGCGTCATGCGTCATCACGGAGTAATTTATAATTAGCAACTCGACAATACGTAACACATCATCAAATCTAATGCGCGCTGATACTTTTCCGTGGCAAACAACCTCACCACCAGCAAAACCAATTAACTTTTCATTACACGCAATGACACATAAACCACACTTCTCAGCAATCGACCGCTTCACTAAGGATTTGCTGCTACCCGAATCAATGAGCGCTTTACATCTCAACTCTGTCTTTCCTATGACTGTAATTTCCTTACACAATTCCATGCACACATTTTTATCACCAATATTATGCGCGTTCCTTATCTCCCAGAAATAGTCAGAAAAAGTCCGAAGTAGTCAGATTTAGTCCAAAAAGCGTTCCTTAACTCGGAAATGACAGCAAAAATGAGAGAGCAACAGTCAGTGAGAGCGACTCTCATCAGTCCGAAGTAGTCAGATTTAGTCAGAAGAATTTTTTCTGGCAAAATCCTGAAAAGTGTCAAACTCAACTGAATTTAAATTAACGGAAATTAAAGAATACGCAAAAAGTGAGAATAATCTAAGAAGTAAAAGAAATGAATTGAAATTGGAAGGAGGCAAAAAATAATTGATATAGCAAGTGTTTATTGTGCTTGTGCTTGTGTGAATGTGTTTTGTACATACATTTCTGTTCTTATTTGACGTTAGTTTTGTTGTTGCCATTCTTTGGACTAAAAATTTGGTTTTTTGCGTTCCTTTAATTTTCCTGTTACTCTCTTTTAGGGAGCGCATTTCGCTTACGCTCTGACATTTTGACACTTTTCAGATTTTAGTCCAAAAATATAAGGAACGAACCTATTGTTGATTGATGTTTCACTTTCTACACATTGTCCACTTTCCTCATATTCGTCACTTGCTATCTGATGTACACGGTCAACATGTTTTGTCTCAACCTTCCTTTTGGGTTTCACACAATTCCTAGCTATGTGCCCCCTTTCCCTACAATTGTAGCAAATTGGTCCGTTTTCACTTTTATTTGCATTATTTTTACTCACGTCCGCTAACACATGCGATGACTGCTGCGCCGTGCTTCTGTAGGCAACTTCGCTAAACCTATTTCGATTCTCAAAACTAGTAGATAAATTCATAAATGATTGCAACAAGTCAGCACACTTTGAAAACTTCATCGCACTCAATGTTTTACGCGAATTATCGTCGGCCAATCCGTTCACAACATATCGAATTATCGAACTGTCATCGATATTATCTCGCCGGCCTATTGCCAGCATTTTATAATAATATTCTATTAATTTCTCACCCTTATTCATTTTGGTGTTCATCATTCTAATATGAGTATCCGCTGAATTTCTCACATACGGAAAATCCGTCAAAAACGCAACTACAAATTCGCTCCATTCCCGGAATGCTGGCTGAGCATCAGCCCATCGCTTTGCAACCCCCCCCCCAGCCTACTGAGAACAGCAAAAATTACAAATGTATCTTCCCAGCAGGGCTGCCAATTTAGCTCTTTTCCCGTCAGATCTGGCTTTTTCGAAGTCCATTTAGCGGGAGGAAATGAGAAATTGCGGGAAGCGGGAATTCTAGCTTTTTGAGAAATTTTTTGTCGGATTTTTAGCTTTTTCCCTTAGACAATATAGTATATATAATATATATGATTACGGATTTAAAATTTTAGTTTTTAATAACATCAAATATCGTAGATAATTCTACGTTCTCTAATAACACTACAATTTGGCTACTCTCTTTGTTGGATATTGTGAATGGAGCTTTTGACATGAAGAAGTATACCAGTTGCAGGGAATTTGAATTTCGCAAACAGCATAGGCGTTGCAAAATATGTACATAAATCATAACGTGATATTTAAGTAAAATGATAAAATCAAATTACAAGCAGAAATTTCGACCTGAGTGGTCTAAGCATCCAACTTTAAAGCCATGGATTCGGCAAGAAACGGACGACGAAGGACGTGCATACTGTGTTTACTGCAAAACCTCCTTAATATCAAAATTAAGCGACTTGCTGGCTCACGCCAAGACAAAAAAACATGAAACCATGAGTGGGAACATTGTAAATCAAACTAAGCTACCATTCAAACCTGCATCGTTAAAAGCAGCGGAGCTCCATTGCGCCTGTGGACCATTTAAGTGAAATGTGCAAAAAAAAATTTAGTGATGCGATTGAGATACGGCTGCATAGAACGAAGTGTACAAATATTATAAAAAATGTGTTGGCTCCGCACTTTTTTGAAGAATTAAGGACGGACATCGGCGATTCCAAGTTTAGTTTGTTACTGGACAAATCCACTGACATTAGTGTAACAAAACTTCTCGGTAAGTCGGTAAAACATTATTGTGCTAGTTGAAAATTCTAATCTAAATTTTCTTCTATGTATGTTTAGGCATTGTCATCATCTACTTCAGTAAAACGCATAACCGAATTATATCTACGTTTCTATCACTAGCAGAACTGGAAAATGCAGATTCTGGTGGTATAGTGGACTGTCTGAAAAAAGAATTAAAAAAGCTTAAACTAAATATTAATAAACTTATCGGAATTGGTACAGACAACGCCAACGTCATGGTTGGTCGCAACAAAAGTGTCTACACGGAATTAAAGCGAGAAATTCCATCTCTAACTTTGGTCAAATGTGTCTGCCATTCTATCCAGTTGGCAATTAATCATGCTTCTAAAGAGTGCCTTCCTCACGGCCTTGAATTTCTAATTTATGAGACTTACAACTGGTTCAGTAAAAGTTCCAGTCGCAGATTACAATACAAACAGATTTTTCAGATAATCAACGATGAAAATGTAAATATAAGCTAACATATGTTCATATACAAGTATTAGGAAAAATACAATGCAATTATATTATATACAGGCAGGTTCTGCAATTCAGTTCCGAGTGAATTTCAACCCCTGTCAATTTGACTTCAACGCTAATTTGATTGAAATTCACTCGGAAATGAATTGCAGAACCTGCCTGATTATCTTTTGTTTTCAAGGCGCCGTTAAAAATTCCAAGAGTTAGCGACACACGATGGCTTTCAATTGAAGGGACCGTATCGCGAATACTACAGCAGTGGCTGGAGTTGAAGACACATTTTGGTATTACTAGCAATTCTGAAAAATGTCATAAAGCAGAAATTCTGTACGAAATGTATAAAGATGAACGAAATTATCTCTACCTTCTGTTTTTGAAACCAATACTTGCCGAGTTACTTGCTCTTAATAATAGCTTTCAAAGTAACAATACTGACCCGACGAAATTACTTAAAGACTTTGCAGTTGTAATTAATTCTTTAAAAAGTAAAATCATTAGCCCAGATAATGATGTAGATGTAATCTCGATTGATTTTGAGCAATATATCAATAAAAGTTGCTATTTGGGATATAACTTCGAAAAGAAAATATTAGAGATGAAATCCTCCTCTGGGCTAACCGAGGAATCAGAAAAATATATAAGAACAATATGTACAAATTTTGTAGTAGTGCTTATCAACCAACTAAAACAAAGGTATAATAGTAGCATGCACATATACATACGTATTAATATAAAATTATTTGAAAAATGTTATTATTGCAGGTTACCAGATAATTTCGATACGATTAAAAAAGTTAATATGTTTTCAGTGGGCAATGTTTTACGTGCATCGCATGAGGAGATAGAAGATGTTTTAAAACATTTTAATTACAGTGACGATATGATAGAAAAAATTATAATTCAGTATAATAGAATTAATTTTGTAAAATGGAATAATATAAGCAATACAATGCAATTTTGGGCAGAAGTTCAAACTTATACGGATGCAGGTGGTAACAAATTGTTTCCCGATTTGGCGGAATTTGCACTTCATTTACTTTCACTGCCTTGGTCTAATGCAGACGTGGAACGATTATTCAGTCAGCTAAACTTGGTGAAAACAAAGCTACGCAACAGTATACACTTAATTACTATAAATGCTATATTAAGTATAAGGTACAATTTTTATAAACAACTCGTGTAGAAGTTTTATATTAAATAACATAAATTTCCAGATACGGTCTTAAAAGGCATAATAAGTGCTGCACAGACTATGAAATTCCAAGAAGTTATTTAAAGATGATTGGAACAAATAAGGCATACGAAAACGAGAGTATCGATTATAATAATCAGTCCGATGATAATTTATATAAAATTATAAATGAGTTGTAACCTGCCTAACTTTTGTGAAAACTGAAAGTTTAGTTAAAAAATAACGTTCGACTGAAATTTTCATACATAAGTTATATTAACTTTTTAACCGACTTCGAAACCTCCATCAATTCGTTGCAATATATTTTTGTTATGTACATATGTCACCGCATAACTTTGGACCACGTTAACCGATTTCTATAATTATTTTTTTAAAGAAAAGGCGGTAACTCATGTGTGGTCCCATACTTATTTGGTTTACATCCGATCATTGGATCATGAAGAAAATAACGGTACACTTAAATTTTTTATATGAGAATTGAATTTTATTTTTTGCTTAAACATAACTTGTATTCTGTATTATTCGATTTCAAATTTTAATTTCAAGTAATGTTTCCAATGATTTGCTTAAAATTAAATTAATATGAACCTATTTATTCTTCGGCTTTTGTTTTGTGGAATTTAGCTTTTTCTGGCGGGTTTTTATAAAAATTTGGATTTTTTTACTCCAAAATAGTTGGCAGCACTGCTTCCCAGTTATACATTGCTCTCAACTGCTCAACTCTCTCGATGAATTGTATTGATGAATATGTGTTGTCAGTAGGGTTGAACTCTGGCAGAATCGCTGCTATTTCACTCGGCTTACAGGCTAACCTAATATTCACGCACGCCGCCAATTTATTGTCAAAAAGTTCTCATGCACATGCAACTTGTATGAGATCAACCGAAATTGAACGGCGTGCGTATGAAGCTAACTCAATTTCCAATTTTTGTTCTGCGTGGTACGCACGCCGTCGAATTTGTTTTTTTGCGTCACCCGAAATTGGCTTGCGTGCGTTTGCATTTGATTTCATTGAGCGAAACGTCAAATCAAAATGTCACGCAGAACAAAAATTGGAAATTGAGTTAGCTTCATACGCACGCCGTTCAATTTCGGTTGGTCCCATACAAGTTGTATGTGCATGAGAAATTTTTGACAGTAAATTGGCGGCGTGCGTGAATATTAGGTTAGCCTGTATGTGTATCAGTGTTGCCATTTTAGCCGTTTTCCGGCTAGATTTAGCCGGTTGCGATAGCAAACAGCCGGAGAAATTTCGATTTAGCCGGCAGCCGATTTGTTAGCCGTTTTGCAGAAAAAAATTAGCCGTTTTTAGCCGATTTTGTAATTTGCCTTGTTTTCTTAAATATCAAATATGTATATATGTTTCCATTTTTGACTAAGCGACCCAAAATCTGTTAGAAATGGCTACTACCCTTATCGTGGAGAAAATTTTCATGTCAGGCAGGGTTGTATGAAATTGGGCCGAATTCGCTTATTTTTATTTTAAACGAAGAAGGGATTTTCTTCATAAAATGTTTGTTATAAATCTCTTAGTTTTAAGTGTGAAGTTTTATTCGCCAACTTAGAAAATAAGAAATTGTTTCACTGTTAAGATACTTAAGATGCGTTTGTGTTTGGATATAATGCCAACAAACAGAATAAATATTACATGTAGATATCGTCTTCCCAGATAGCGCATATTCAATTCTGCCTAAATTACAAAGCATCATTTTTGCCCACTCCCAAAGGTTTAAGGTAAGGGAAAATTGATATTTTCAAGCACTATGTACACATATGTCTTTTTTTAAACAAACTTTTTGCTGAGAACTTATTTAAATTCCAAAAACCGAATGCCAACTTGAATTAAAGGAACCAACACTGAAGTGAGTCAAAATGAAAATAAAAGAGCACAAATTTTTATGTAAAGCAAAACTCTCTGGGAATCCTACGAGACATCTGCCGGTCATATGACCGGTCATCCAAATGGGAGATCTGCAGTCTTTTGACATCATATTTTACATCAGAATTGAAGGGATTTCTGAAAAATCTGACCAGTTCTTTTGTGTTACTGTGATTTTGCATCCCTTGTCAACATATGGCCTCGGTTGATGTTAACTTAAGGTCGTTGTTTTACTGCCTTAAAATTGAAGCGAAATTTTTACAGCGTTTTTCATGTGTATTGGTTTCTATTTGAGTGTATTGAGAATCGGTCAGTCTGAAAGGGCCTTGTAGGGAAGACAATAGGTTTGTTCGTCGAAAATCCAGCGGGAATTATCACTCAAAATATCAGATAGTAAGAAAAAATTTTCCCAAATACTCTCTCATGTAGAGAAACTTGCAATTTTATATACGAACGCAAATTTGCAAGTTTCTCTGCCAGCTTGTGTCCACGGTTGCATTTCAAACAAAAGAAATTTGTATAGAATTTTTAAAATTCTTTCAGTGGGCAAAAAACAGGATCTACGTGTGTATATCTTGTCAGTCCGACTTTCTTCAACATACGATTCAATTTCTTACTCTCTGTTGAGATTGCATTCCGATTAAGAATATCATTGGAATCATTGCAATTAAATAAATTAATTATATTAAATTAATCATATGTTTTTCCTAATTGCAAATTCTTGCTGGCAAAATTTTTTCCGGCTCGAATTTGTAACTTCTCTCCAAGAAATAGTCATTTTAATCGTGATTTATTTAAATAAAACATGTGAAATTTAGTTGAAGCATTTTAGCCGTTTTTAGCCGGTTTTATTTGCCAATTTAGCCGGTTCGTCCAAAAAGTTCTGGCAACACTGATGTGTATGTATGTTTCTCGTTACATACGAACATCGCTCTCCCGTTCTCATATATGCTGAATCAGACCAAGGCGCTGATCGATTTGAATATTCTAACGGAGTTGCAAATCCAACGTTTGTTGCTCCTGCTGCTTGCTGTGATGTGTGCGCATGAGTAAATGGCATCGGCTGTGTTGTATGCTGCGTCATATGTGCCAAGTACGGCTGCCCCGAAGTTGAATACGACGAAACTGGCTGCTGCAAAGTCGGCAACATACACGCGTACTGCGACGTAAGTGAAATATTCTGTTCCACTGGCAATGGAAACGAAGTCGGCAATGCTTCGGACGCTGGCATTGCTATTGATGAAGTTGAATACGACGAAACTGGCTGCTGCGAAGTCGGCAGCATACACGCGCACTGCGATGTAAGCGGAAAATTCCTTCCCACCGGCATTGGAAACGTAGTCGGTAGTGCTTG